CCCCAAAACCCCAAAACCCCAAAACCCCAAAACCCCTTATCCTACTAAAGCCTTTAAATTTTTACAAATTCCAAACAAATATTAAAAGATGCCAGTTACCCAAATATTCCAGTCGCTCAGCACATGAGTCAATATTCTCCCTTACTACTCCGACTTCTTTGATTGTTGCTGCCTGTTATCCAACCTATCTCGATCCACTCGGGGAAAACTCTTGGAGAACTTCTCTGCTTTGCAGAGAAGTTTCTCTACTCAAGTGGAAGTCTGTGATGGGTTTGATAAAGGTATTGCAGAGATGCTGAAGAAGAAGCTGAGCAAGGGAAGAGCCATAAGGCGGATTTCATTCTTGTACGTTTACTTGATGATGAAAATTAAGAAACTGAAGGTGACTCTGAGGAATAACGAACAGGTCAGAAGCCTATGAACATTTATAGAGCAAACTGAAGGATTGGAGATGCTTGATTTTGTCGAAATTTAGTATCCCAGTTGTTGTATCCAGAGATCATAGATATTTTCGAAGTTTTTATCCTCCTTTGGAACAGAGTACTAGCTGTGACAATATTATGAAACTCTACGAAGCCCTAATCTTGAAAGATCTAGACCTTAGCCTAATCAAATTCACCACTAGATTCCAACTAAATCACAATATTTTCGACCAAACATCAAATCAGCCCCAAAACTACTCATCCCCAATCCAAAACGGATACATTGCAGACTTCGCCCGCTTCCTACCACCCACAACCCTCGAAATCACCTCCAGTTACAACCTATCCTACTTCTCAACCCAGCTCCTCCTCCCCAGCCAACTAATCCTCCCCGGTCACCTTCTCCCTTCCCTATTCGACTTCTCCTTCACGACTTCCTCACTTTGCCTGAACACAACAGACCTTATCATAACTCTTCCTTCTTTCTCAACACCTCCTAATTCCTTTACACCCAGTTCTTCCCTTGGGCAGCTCCAAGCGGAGCTTGGCTCCGCCCAAGCCAAGCAGCTGCTGACGAAGGAAGGGTGATCAGTGGTGTTTAGAAATTTGGCCAAATTTAAAGTGAGAAGGGTCCTGGTGGAAAATGAGAAGTGGGATTTTGAGCAAGATGTGTTTGAGGGAGGGGATGTGATGACTAATTAATACTTCATGGACTAGAGAAAGAAGAAATGAGTTTTTTGAAGAAGAGCCAGCCTGTGTCCTTGAAAATGAATTATCGAATGAGGATGATCTTAGACCCAACCCAATTGAAGTGTACTACTTTGATACAGCAACTGGTAGTTGTCACTCTTTTTGAGCCAAAAAGGTTGAGATGAACACAGAACCTTTGAGGGTATACCCTTCACCAGACTTTATTCAAGTGGATTATTCAAAATGAAACTTTTATGGGATTTATGATAAGGACGGCCTTGATACTACCAATTTTGGGAAATTTATTGCAGATGTCAAGACAAACTTCCTTTCAAAGATCGAATTTGGAGACGAACATCATCTATGGAGAGACCTCTTAGAAATATCCGAAGAACTTGACAAAACAGTCTTCATAAAATGCCCCTCAATATCCACAGTATCCGGTTGAAAATCAATGTGGTCCTTCATCGACCAAACATTCTACCTCACCCCTACTCCACCCCACAAACTCCCATTCCACCACAAAATCCAGCACTTCCACCTCACCTGCACCGACTTCTCCACTTTCCCCGACCAAAGCACCCTCCTCAAAAAGCTCCTGTGCACCTCTACCCCCACTAAAATCCACTTGACCTCCCATCCCACTAAAAATTCCTTCGATCACTTACTTGCCTGCTTCAAGCTGTCTCTCACAGATCTAGCGCTGACGCTGACCACAGCGTCAGCCGAGAGGCTGACTTGTGAGCAGCTGGTAGTGCTAGCAACGTACTTGTGAAGGAAGAAGCTGGAGAAAGTGAAGGTAGTGGAGAGAGGAAAGGAGACGTGAACGAAGGTCTTCTACCCGAAGGGCTCTGGGGCAGAGGTTTAGAGGAAAATTGGATGGATTAGATGGGAGAGATATTGGGAGGAAAGGAATCTGAGGAAATTTTGATGATTTGGATAATTCAATGTATTTTTTGTGTATCGGGGTTTTGGGGTTTTGGGGTTTTGGGGTTTTGGGG